CAGCGTCCGCAAACCCGTTCCACATAACGACCGAGATCGTTGTGATCAGAAACTAGCAATAGACATCTGTGATTGGCTGCGTCCAGCAGAGAAAGCAGATCAGTGCATTGGGTGGCATCCGTTTGACCACGTCCCGATTGACCACTAGCCACTCACAGCGCTTGAACAGTGGAAAAATTCTAGGCACCGGCCCCTGTGAGTGGTCAATCGGGACGTGGTCAAACGGGACTCGTGAGCATTTGATTCTTTACTATGATTGGTTTCCACACTTATATTCAACGGCGATCTAAAGGCAAGGACCAATCCTATTGAAAAATCACTGAGCGCTCACTGATCTGCTTTCTCTGCTGAACGCAGCCATTATTTGTTCCGCGTTTGTCCGCGATGAGCACGTTTGTCAAGAGCTGTTATATACGTAGCCTGGAAAGAACTCCAAAGAATGTTTATTTGCCGGACAACACGCCAATTTTCGTAGGACGCTCGCCGGAAACCGAAATTACAGACACGAAATGTTCGCGACAACAAGGTCGCGTATCCTTCTCAAATTTATCCTTTTCCTTTATCATTATTTGTCGAAGATAAGAGTTTTCCACATATACTGATACTTGAACTCTACATTTCGACAAAGAAAAAGAAAAAAAAGTTATATTCATAAAATTACAAAGAATGAGCAAGAATGATTTTTTTCATTGAATTTTAAGAAACTTTTAATAAATCTGTTACAACGTAGAGGTTAAATTTAATCTTGATGTCTCTAATACACACGATTCTGAATAATTATCCAAAATATGAAAGGAGATTAAAAGTGTATTATTTTATAAAAATTAAAAAGTTTAGGTAATTTAAATTAATACGGGAAATAAAAAATTAACATTTTATCCAGAATATAATAATCAAAATTAATGGAGTGATAATAACAGAATATTGAATTAAATAGTAAATTGTGATATAGTGAATAATTTAGTTTATAGCAATTAATATTCAATTAGTTAAATAAAAAAGTAAATAAGTAAGTTTTCTAAATGAAAAATTTCTCAAGGAAGTACTAATATTTAGTTAGCAAAATGTCTTAAAGATTGAAAATTGAGAATGAAGATCAAATTGAAGAAATCTAAGAATTATTTTAATATTTACTTTAACTTTTTTTATTTAAAATAGTTTTATATTTTAAAGATACATATTTTTAAGATTATATTTTAAAGATACATATTGATCTCTTTTATTTGTAAGTTCTTAATGAATGAATATATTATTTGTTTTTAATAGTTCGTCTATGTGCAAATTATGCAGAGGCTATTGTCACAATTCAACAAATTGGACCGCATGCTTGTGGTTTTAATGGCTTTAAAACTAAAAAGGATGTAAGATTTGTAGGTAGGCACAATGATCGATTGGAGTTGCTCTATGGCAAACATGCTTACGAAATTGAATTTAATCCACCACCAAGTCTAGATCATTTTGTATTAAAAAAGAGGTTATACGAGCCAGAAACAGAAGAAATTGAAAATAAAGCGAAAATGTTAAAGTTAGATAATTTTTCTGAAATTTGCTCTGAAGAACTTGAGAATGACCAGCAGTCAGAAGATAGATTATCTTCAAATGATATTCATTCTACTGAAAAAGCATTCAGCACTGATTCTAGTACATCATCTGAACAAAGTAATATCTCAAGTGCAAAGTGGGATAGTATCAGTAATGGAAAATTATTAATTTATACACCACCATCCCTGCCAAACTGTGCAAAGGTAATTTTAAACAATTGAGAGTTATATTAAAGTTTTAGCATAATAAAACTAATTAGTGAATAATAAATCTTTTAGAATGAATACTGTTAATACATAAATCAATTTTATCGATAAGCCAATATTATTGGCAAATATAGAGTAAAAGGATAATACAAAAAAGATTATTGTTAATTTTAAACTTGTTTATGTACCTATTTGACATCATAATAAATAAAATTTTTAAGTTAAAATATAAATGCAGATAAATTTTTTCAAACTGTATGTATAACAATATGTATGTATATATGTAAAACATACATGTTTGTAAAAGATTTTTGTGAACAGCAATATTAAAAACGAAAATCTTGTTTTTAGATAGCTGCCTACGATATGGATGGTACTTTAATAAAAACTAAATCTGGCTTGGTATTTCCAAAAGATTGTAATGATTGGCAATTATTATATCCTGATATACCCAATAAATTGAAACAGTTTTATACAAATGGATACAAGATAGTTATATTCACAAACCAAGCGGGTCTTAGTTCTGGTAAAATTAAGATTAATGATTTCAAGCGCAAGATCGAGAGAATCGTACAGAAAATCGGCATTCCCATTCAAGTATGAAGTATGATTATAATTTTTATTGCAAGTTTTTTGTAATATTTTTTCTAATATTTTTTGTATTATACTTTTCAGGTTTTTATTGCTGTAGGAATGAACATTTATAGAAAGCCAACAATTGGTATGTGGGAATTTTTGGAAAAAGAGGTACAAATAGGCGTTATGAAAAAATAAAATTACATATTGTAGTATTTTCTTTATTTTTATATTATCTTTTAGAATTCCTTATATGAAGTCTATTTTTCTTATCGAAGTTTATTTTTTTTTGTTGATTTACTTTGTGTTACTTTATTATATACTTTATTAAGACATAAACAAATTTTAATTCTATTATATCTTTATTTATTATTATATTTTGATAGATTTTTTTAATGTTTTAATTTCTGTCTGTATGATTCCATGTTATAGAAGAACGGAGGTATTGCAATTGATAAGGCTATTTCATTGTATGTTGGCGATGCTGCTGGCCGACCGAAAAATTGGGCACCAGCAAAGAAGAAAGATCATTCAAGTGTAGATAGATTAATGGCACTAAACTTGGGTATCAAATTCGAAACGCCCGAGGAACATTTTTTGAAACATAAAACGGCGCCTTATCAACTACCCAAGTTCAATCCGAAAAGTTTGCCGCAGACTAACGATGTGTGTAAACCCGCGGATGCGGAATTAACACTGAAACAACAAGAGGTAGATAACAATAGATAACAATATTAACTTTTGAATATAAAATCATTTGATTTACGAAAAAAATTTTTTCATATCTTATTAACAGGTAGTACTTATGGTTGGCAGTCCAGGTTCTGGAAAATCGCATTTTGCAAAGAATTATCTAAAGGAATACAAATATGTCAACAGAGATACTTTAGGCAGTTGGCAAAAATGTATCGCCGCAGTTCAGCAATATTTGATTGAAGGAAAAAGCATAGTTGTAGATAATACCAATCCTGATCCAGCTTCGAGACAGAGATACATAGACATAGCTAAGAAGCGCAATATTTTAGTCAGATGTTTCGTCATGACGACAAGTATAGAACATGCGAAGCATAATAACAAAGTAATTCATATCAATATTTTATAGTGATTTTCATAACGAACAAATTTTTTGAAAAGTCTAGTCAAATTATTGTGTTACAGTTCCGCGAATTGACTGATCCAAGCCACATTCCAATCAACGAAATTATTATAAATTCCTATGTGTAAGTAAAATTTAGATATATATTTCGTATTCGTCATATTTCTCTAAAATTCTATATCGTAACTTTAATTTTGGGCTTTCTTTTATCAAGATAAATTTTTGCCAATTATTAAAACTTAAATAGAAATTCGAGAGAAAAAAGCCAAAAATAAATAAGACGCTTGATAAGCTTGATTTTGCTAAGAAAAGATTTTGTGTCGATCGATGTATAATATTAATGTTAACAATAATTTTATATTTTGTGCGCAGAAAAAATTATGTGCCACCAACTTTAGAAGAAGGCTTTAAAGAAATAGTGGAAATCAATTTTGTTCCAAATTTTAATAATGAGAAGGATCGAAGACTCTACGAAATGTATTTACTCGAAAGTTGAATCCTTTTCAAATGATCATATGAATCTGCCATAGTATTCACTTATTTTCAATGTAATAATGTCAACAATAAAAATATTTATTAGATTATCTATTGCAAATATCAACTATTTAATTATTTACAGCTGTAAAATTTATAAAAGATAAGTCATTTTCTTATATGATTTTTTAAATTTAAATATCTGCAGTTTTGAATTTTTTAGATCGATTATTAACTAAAGTTTTGATAAAAAGACAGGCATAAATATTGATTACAAAAGATTTATTCTTTATTTATGATATTTTAACAATGAAAAAAATCTTTTGATATTTCTTAAATTTTAAGAAACAACTATATACGCATTTCTTCATTTCCTTTATGTTTAAAACACTCTATACAATCTTATATCTATGAATACATCTTTATTATTAATATTGATTTGATTATTAATGTTGATAATTACAGAATTCTGTGTTTTTATTTGATTTTATTTGATTTTATTTTCGACATCGATTCAAATCTGGATGAAGTTTAATTATTACAACGCATATGTTGGTCAGAACCTTGTCAAACTAAAAATCCCAGTAAAGCTGTTAAATATTACAAGCTGTTAAGATAAAAAATATAGTAATATCTTGAGAGACGAGCAATTTTGCAATCAAGATCGCGATTCCTTTTATCTGAAAAAAAATCAAACTAACAATTCCTTGTGGACTGGAGCCAGATTCGGCCTCCAAATAGAGAGTTTTCTCCTTTTCAAATTCTTCACGCGGTTTGTTACGCACCCTCCAGTTCTTTGATCGAATGGTAAACGATGATTGCGTGTCACGTGATGTTGCGAGAGCGGCGCGACGCTCAATACGGTCTCAGTGTCCGCGCAGACGTCGTCGTGGTTGGTTGTTCTTCTCGTTACTTCGTTACATGAGTAAGCGTGTATGCGTGTACGAGTTTGTGCGATGGATTCGCGAGCAAAAACAGAAGGGCTGAAAAATCCAGTCGCGTGACGAAGAAAGGATAAAGTGAGTACGGCACAAGTGACCGAGATCTTTAATCGGGGCCGAAAATTAAAAATGGGAAGCCCGACCGGTCAAGCTCAAGATCTGTGATGCTTCGAAATGATACGGCGAAATTAGATTTCTGATCAATCCTTGATCTTCGCGGAGTCTGTCAAAAATAGTCGTGTTATTTGTCGCCATACTATGAAATACGGCAAATTCTCTTCGGCAAATTGTAGAATGATGGTCTGGGAAAACGCGTTTAACCGTGCACGTTACAGACACTCGTAATTGATAAATTTAATGCAGTGTAGAAACCATCCTTAACCTCTTTAAAATTCTTAAAAATAAAATTGTTTACATTTGTAGATTGAAATAATAACATAGAGCGTTAAAAAAAAATGTATTTAAAACCCCATATATATATATATATATATATATATATATATAATAACTCTAATATATAAATTCCATTTCAATATATTCAAAATTTGCAAGAAATTTGAAATTTTTTATTGTATATTTTCGAGCCAACAAAGACACGTTTGCCTTCGCACGGGGTTCGCACGTGATAATTTCTGAATAAGCTGATACAGAGTTATTTGCTAATCGTAGTGTATATGACTGTCCGAGTTCTTTCTATCTATTGTTATTCAACGTATTTGCTTTCCACGCATTAACTCTCTTAACATTTTGCTGAATTCTTTCACGCTACCTAGCGGCGAAAAGCCATTCTTTAGCACATCGTTCGAATCTAAGCGCAAATTGAATTGTTTTTGATTCGTGAGAATCTCTCTCTCAGTTGCAAATACATATTTCCAAAAAATTGCATGTTCTCACATTCATATTTCTCCTTCTCGGCAAGAGTCGCTTCACTGTCTCGTTCACAATTTTTTAAGAGATGAGCACGATTGTCATCCCAGATTTCATTCTGAAATGAAGAGTTTGTAACAATTTGTTTTCGTTTCAATGATTTTTCGCGGATGCTTAAAAATACGATATTGGGACAATGTCTCCCGGATAATTTTTGGCTCCTAAATTGTGAGATTACTCTTCAGAAAAATTATGAATACACTTTCGCTGCTCCAAAGACTCGCTTATTTAAGTGCGCGAACGCATGAGTCACGGCTGTGTGTGTTTTCAGTAAAGATTACATATCACCCTATCTGAACAATTGACCCAACGTTTCACAAGTTAGCCGTCAATAAAGAACAATGCGCCTTTGACAATGTTTTTAATTCATCTCTTAACTAGGTTTTTTTTTTTTTTAGTGTGCGCAAGCGACGTCGTGATATGAAGTGTATTTTGTCGCTTCACTCGAAATATACACATATATGTGTAAACTATGAAATATTAAATATTATTTTTGTAATACCCGTAAATTAATGAAATGATTCAAATAATCGATGCTGATGA